AAGCGAGAGCGAGAGAGAACGAGAGAGAGACCGAGAGAGAGAACGAGAGAAAGAGAGAGCGAGAGTTACTCGTCAAAGTTCCTTCCTTCCGTCAGGATCGACTTATCGATCTAGCTTCGAATAAGGGATGAGGGAATAGGAAAGGAGAGAAGAGGGGACCCGAGGGAGGGGGAGGAGGAGATTTGCAAGAAAGGGGGCAAAAGGCAAGGGGACAAGTTAGGTCGAAAAGAGAGGGGAGTAACGAAGATAAAAGCTTCCCTTTCGAAAAGAAAGAGGAAAGGGAGAGAAACGAAGTGAGATAGAGAGAAGAAGAAGAGATAGATAGATAGATAGATAGATAGAGATAGATATAGAGATAGAGATAGAGATAGATAGAGATAGATAGAGAGAGAGATAGAAATAGATAGAAATTCTCTTTTGCTCAGAAACGCATAGCGATTCAGAAACGAGTACGACTTTAGCATTGTAGGAAGGTAATAATACGACGTGCTACGATGTTGGAGAGAGAGAGAGAGACAGAGAGAAAGAAAGAGAGAGGGACAGAGACAGAGACAGTGAGAGAGAGAGAGAGAGAGAGAGAGAGAGAAAGAGAGAGAGAGAGAGGGATATTGAAGATGAAAATTACGTTACATACTTCGAAGTAGAGAGAGGGAGGAGAGAGAGAGAGAGAGAGAGAGAGAGAGAGAGAGAATTAGAGGAAACTCTTGGTTGTCTAATAACGTAGTCCGCGAACGGGTCGCGGAGTTCTGGGCCGTGTCTGGCATTCGTCTATCTATCGAAAGATTCCCTAGAATGAGTACCACGTGAGCAGAATTGGACGCAGGGAGTTAGGAAATTTCGTTAGCTTTAGCCAAGACCACCCTTCGAAAGATCGATCGATATCAAAATTGGTTATATCTGTGAGAATTGTATTATCAGAATCGTTAAAAATTAATACAATTAACTGTGTATAATATATAATTTTATGATATTTAATTAATTAAGTAATTAATTAATTAATTGATTGATTGATTTATTTATTTATTTATTTATTTATTTATTTATTAATATAGTGTCAATATATATATATATACCGTAGACAAATTTTATTGATAAAAATATTTTTTACGTGATTGTTCTCTCATTTAAAATTCTTAAAGTAACACTTAATAACAGATTATTATAATAAAGGGACGTTACGTAAAGAATTATCCAATCGATTATTCACGTAATCTCGTATAAAATTTTAATTTGAAACAATATAATTAACGATTAATTAATCGATCGAATCGATCGAATTATTTATAATTCAAAAGACTTATATCGTTAGATTATAGTTGAATCGTAAATGTGTAAATTGTAAATATTGAGATGTAATAGGATCCGAGATACGAAGTAATAGGAAATCAAAGTTTTTAACGAGTCTCTCTCTCTCTCTCTCTCTCTTTCTCTCTCTTACTACCAAGATATATACTCGTAAATAAGAATACTACTTTTGCGAGTTAACTCGTAGAGTAAGTACCTGATTAAAGTCGTTTCAAATTAACGATCTTCGAAAAGTAAGAATCTTTAACGAGAATCGTGTTTGACAGAAATATATATATATATATATTTTTTTTTTTTATTGGAAAAACTATTGGAAGGAGGGAAAAAAAATGGGGGAGGGGGATGAAAAAAAGAGTCGAATTGGAAACTTGTTTCTCCTTTTATTTTTTTCCTTTTTCGAAAAAGAAAGATAAACGAAAGAAACGAAGAGAGAGAGAGATAGAAAGAGAGAGATAGAGAGAGAGAGAGAGAGAGAGAGAGAGAGAGAGAGAGAGAGAGAGAGAGAGAGAGAGATAGAGAGAGAAAATTTACTGAATTTTTATCTTTCAAGAAATTTTGTTGCATCGTTATACCTCTTACCAGAATGAACCATCCTCCTCCTCTTCCATTTCTTCTCACTATACCACAGTATACCTCCTCTTGCCCCTATCGAACGTGTTAGCTTACTTCTCATAGGTCCTCGCACATTGAAGCCTTCCTTTTACATTATTCCAACGATGATTAATGAAGCCCACGGTCGAGCAAAATTTCAAGCTGCTGGTGTTATACACACGCGTACATATCAACACGTACATACACACACATACACACTCTCTCTCTCTCTCTCTCTCTCAATTTAGACAGAGTTAGATAGATAGATAGATAGATAGATAGATAGATAGATAGATAGATAGATAGAAAGAACGAAAGAGATAGAGAGATATATAGAGAGAGAGATATATATATATGTAGAGAGAGAGAGAGAGAGAGAGAGAGAGAGAGAGAAATAGAAGCATACCATCGACGCACATATTGGAAGGAGGATATCGCTAGTGGAAGTGGAGAAGAGATGGAAACGATAGAGAGATACGAACGATACCGAGGATCGGGCCAGATGGACTCGGATCAAATTTGCGAGCAACAACGGGAACCCGTACCTGTACAACCGTGCCTATCCATCAAGTTTGGCGCTACGTTCAGTGGCAACGAGGAAAGA